AAGGTCGAAAAGAAAAAAGAATTTGAGTGTGTCCATATGGGGAAGCCTCTGTGTGTGTGTGTGTGTGTGTGTGTGTGTGTGTGTGTGTGTGTGTGTGTACATTTAATCATCTAGCTCCCCAAAGTCAGGTTGCTTACAATAAAAGTGCAGAATACAATAAAATCATGAACACATTAAATAATATAAGAGTAATGAAACCTAGCCAAAGAATACTATAGAAAAAATACAAGCTTTACAATGCTTGACAATCAATACAAACAGAGAAGCACAGCTCTCAAGAGTATAATAAAACACTATAAAACACTGTAGTGATAATGAAAGTACCAAGGGTTGAGTGTCTGTTATACACCAAGAAATTCCCAGGGATGCCTAGACCCCTTCCCTCTTTTGAACCTTGTTAGTGTTCTTTGTGACTTGTGAGTTGCCCCTCAGCAGAATGGAACGAAATTGATTTTGCCCCTCAGCCCAGGGCCTGTGTCCTGGCAAGTATTTCCCTGCTGGAACCGGACTTATCACTTTCTGGAGAGACTTTTCTCTGGAAGAGTCCATCCAAATGGGATCTTGATATAGTAGGCTGCTTGTGATAACTAAACTTCATTAGGTGGTTCCAAACCCCAGCCCAGCTTCTCCCTGGTTCTGGATGACGTCCATTCCTTTTCAATGCATCTGAAAACATTGCAGTCTTATTTGAAAGGTAATGAACATATAAAACACATTTAAAACGGTGTTTGACACAAAGTAAGTGCTAGGCATGCACTGTTTGTTATTATTTTTGTTGCTGTAACTATGTTGTTATTAAATACCCACATGGAGTAATCCACGAAAATCCATAATATTAAAAGGGGGCTTGAAAATAGCATGGCTGACTCTTTGGAGACAGGAGAAAGGTGAAAGTCTGAAGCGAACAAAACTAGAAAGGTAAAAAGGGATCTTAGAGATAGAAGGAGAAAGGGGATCATTTTATTTTCTTTTTTCTCAATGTGTTTTTATTAATTTTTGTACATTCAATACATCTGAATCACATTTAGACTCCCTCCTCTATCTTTCCCCCTGTAGTCCACCCACAGGATTTCGTGCATTATGTCATATATGTTAAGGCCTATCAAGTCAAGTTTCTGTTCCCAGATGTCCCTCTATGTGCGTTTCATCCACTGGAACCTGTTCAGTTTATCTAGCATCACTCCCTTAAAGAAGATAAACTCTCCCCAATAGTCCCTCAACTAAAGTTAGAGATTGTTTTAGACCAAACCAAGAGGGCTGATGGGACAGCATTAGCTTTAATTACTTAATCCAAGTGCATAAAATACTGACACTGCAGAGACCCACATGTCCTGTGTTCATCATGCACCATAAGGTAGTTTCTTAAAGTGGTAACATATCAGGGTGTCCATATCCAGGTAGACTCTCTTTAAGGACCGTTTCTTGTTTGGATGAGAGTCTGCTTCAAAGGTTGCAGAGCTCACAGATAGGGCTCTCAGCTGAGAAGATCTAGCCAAGAGTCTCCAAGTCCTGGTACCACTGTCAGCTCTTGCTGAAGTGCTCTGATAGAAATTCCTTCATCAACTGTTTACTAAGTGCTTAAGGTGTGCTAGACACTGTTCTAGGAACTAGGGACCAGAGAAAACACTAGAAGCTAAAAAACAAACGTTATTCTACTTATAATGCTTAAATTATATATTAGAAGCTAATAATTACTAGGGAAAAAAATCACAGAGACCCTGATGTCAGGAGTTGGTAGAGATTTAGATAGTCATGTATCACATAATCCTATTTTGGTCAGTGATGCACATACACAGTGGTGGTCCCATGAAATTATAATGGAGTTGCAAAATAATTATCACCAAGTAATATCAGTCATGCAGTGTCAGAGTGTAACCCATTATTCATGTGTTTATGTTGATGTAAGGGTCAAACAACCCACTGCACCACCAGACACATAAAGATATTGCATGTTAACAACCTGTATTATCTGGTATATCATAGCCTCAGAAGCAGCAGGCTATCCCCTCTATACGCCATACAGCCTATGCCTGTGATAGACTCCATCATCTGGAGTTTGCATACGTAATATGCTGTAGTGTATACACAATGTTGAAATCACCTAATGACACTTTCTTGGGACTATCTCTACAATTAGTTATGTATGACTATAAGTTGGTTAATAAAATATACAGAAAAGGTAAGTTTGAGTGAAGGTCCAAAGAAGGTAAGGAAGTGAACCATGTCAGTATCTAGGAAAATAGAAGGAAGGAAGAAAGTACATCCCAAGGTTGGAGACATCTGGCTGATCTAGTGGAGAGAATTTTCATATCCACTATGAACATAGGGGGTTCTGTGACTTGGTTTGGTGTTTATATTGAACAGAAACCAGCTGGCAAGGTTCTTGCAGGGATCAATAGATCCAGTCCCCTAAGAAAGGGAGAAAGGATGAATGTGGAGATCATGAGGGAAGAAACTCTATCTGTTGTGCAAAGTTCTTCTGGGCACTGCAGTCCAGATCAGCATCACCATCCTGAGTCAAAAGACCTACAGAGCCAGTGGCCCTCATTGGTGGCCTTCTCACCTCACTTTCTCCTTGGCATCACTGAAACTCTCTGCCACATAGTACAGGGGCTGGAACTCTGTGACACTGTACTCCTGGGAGGCTGTCTTGTCCAGTTCCAGGGGCAGGACCTTTGGCTTGTCTGATAAGCAATACTGTAGATATCCAATAGGAAGTTTTTAGTTAAAAAAGGATCTGTGTTCCTTAATGCATTCCACTCTCCATCTCCAAATCTTTTCTTGTCTCAACCTTGTTCCTTATCTAAGTGCAAATTCAGTAAACTGGGTTGTTTTGAACATACTAGATTCAGTTCTTCATAGCTTGTCTAAAACCTTCAGCTAAGTATGGGCTAACAATTCATTCCAACCACTTTCCAATAAGGAGTTCAACAGATATTGCTGAATCCAACTACATATTCTGGCATGTGTTTGTAAACATACAAAATTGTGTGCCTGGGTCAACCTTGGGATCAGGAAGCTCCTCTTCCACAGAGCCCTGTGTAGTTAAATTTCTATCTCTAACAATATAGTTGAGATCAGTTGCTAATGTGCCAATCACCTGAGGAGGAACAACTCAAACATACACTAACAGTACTTTAGCAGTACCTAGAGGATGAGAATGGTCTTCAGTACCCACCACTTGTGTCAATGTTTGGTTTCTGTTAGAATAATACCTGTAATTCTCCAAAGGATGACAGGAGGCCAGCACCATATGCCTTTATGGAATCTCCTTCCTTACAGAGCCCAAACTCCACAGTAAACCAATAAATCTGGAACAGAAAGCAAGCTAAAGATAGGTACATGGGGAAGGCATCAGATCCTCAAGCACCAGGCAGATCTGCCAAGTAGGAGACTGTCCAGGAATGTTCTCTGAATCAGTGTTACCTAGGGTCATTTCTGTGTCTTGTGGTTCATTGTATTCACCCACCTGATGAATCAATAGTGGATAATCACAGTGTGACAGGACACATTAAAGTGTATGAATATAGTTCCCAAAGACATTCCCAACAAGTTCCTTTTGGAACTACTTCTCTAATCCTTTTGCTTTTTTTCTCTATGGCAAAAACCAGAATTATAGGTTTCTAAGATGTTCTTAAATTGTTAGGATTTATCCAGTAATTCTATCAGGCACAGAAGTGAGAGGGTAAGGGATTGAATAGTGAGAGAATCAGTGAGGGGCACACTCCATCTTCTATGCTAAAACTTGGGGTGAGGTCAACCACTAGGTATATCTTCGCAAATAATCAGATCCTTTTCTTTCAGCACCTCCTAGTCCAACATTCCTTTGATGCATGAACTGAAGAAGAGACTCTTGGAACCCCAGGGCAAAGAGACTCTTAAAGCTGAGTTAGCTGATGGAGGGGCCACAGTCTTAGAATTAGGGGTGGATTAACAGGTAAGTCTGTGTGTTAGACTACAGAACAGTAAACCCAGGAAGGCCGTCAGATCCTAGTCAACATGATCTCCTCATATACAATAATTAGTCTTCACTGCAGGAAAGTAAGGCAACATGCTTATAATAATACAGCAAATTAAAGGCAGAGACATGACATGGGGCTGTTCCCAGTTCAGTGTATCAATAATATGATGGATCTTTTCATCATCTATAAGGAGGATAACATGGTACTCTGAATTCTAAGACTTTACCTAGAAAATTTTTAAAGCCTCTTTGAAAACTGTTTCTCTAAGGAATCTGGTATGTAAAAGCTCAGGTTCACATAACTTTAACTCTTTAGACTCCCATTACATGTTTTTAAAAAATATTTTATTTATTCTTATTTTATGTGTATGAGTGTTTTGCCTGCATAATGTTAAGTACACTATGTGCATGAGACCATGGAGACCAGAAGAGGGAGTTTGATTCCCTGGAACTGGGGTTACCAATGATTGTTAGCTACTATTTGGGTACTGGAACCCGAACGTGGGTCTTCTGCAAGAGCAACCACTGCTCTCAACTGCTCAGCCATCTCTCCTGCCCCTCATGATATACTTTTGAGATGGGCAAGGCATAAACTATTATGCCCTATTTTAGAGATGAAGAAAAAAATATCATTTCAAGCAGATGGTCAGAAAGACCTGGAAATTTCAAGTCTTTCTGGGAAAGTAAAATCATGAACTTCTAACCTGATGCATTTCAATGCTAGATTTGCATTCATTTTAGTCTTTAATTCAATATAATTTTTTTTTATTTTTCAGACTTCTAGGATGGTTACATGGTAAGAAATGTGGCTCAGCAGCTAAAGAAGGATGTCCTGAATTGGAAAGTATAACAAAGGAAATTATTGACTGTGCAGATCTGATGTTTCCACAGTGTCTATCATGAGTAACCTCAGATTCTCTTGTGAGAGGGAAATGTTTGGTAAGAATGCGAAGCACAGCCCCATTTCTCCCTTCTGTCTGAGGGAGAGCCCAGTGCTAACTCCAGTGCAGAGGTAGAGATAAAAATATTCCCTGGTCAGAGTTGTGAATCCAGATCACTTCCTTTCACACTTTGTGCTCAAAGGATTTACAGCTGATGGATATTTTCGAGAAGACTCCATTAACAAGTATATTGCAAATATCTCCATGAAGCTAATTTAAAATTCAGTCAATTAAAGAAAAATCAAAACACAAGGCTTCATTCATGCAAATGTAACTTGCCATACTCTTATCATGATTTCAAAAGGCCTAGCTCCAGGAAAAGAGTAAATCTTTGAGACTCTGAGGGCCAGACCCTGTAGCATTTCTACCCATTCCTCCATGGACAGGAGAGACTTACTGTGGCCAGTTTCTCAATGTACTCATCAGGTGCGCCCAGAGAAGCAAGGCCAATTTCCTGTGTGTGGAGAAACAGAGTCACTAACACAGCTCATCTTAAAACTTTACCCTCAGTGACAACCTGCCACTTGATTATGGGAAGGTGATGAATGGCCAAGTGACTTTAGAGGGACCCAGGTAGACCCTGTATGTTCTTTAAAGTCTGTCCTAGCCACAAACCACTGTCACCACTACTTGGTTCCCTTGTGTTCACTTTACAAATGAGGACACTAAGGTACAGAGAAGGGAAGTGACATGTTCACAGTCATACGACTAGGACCTAAAACATCATATTTGTACTTCAGTTTTTTTTCCCCCAACAACATAAGTGAGACATTTCTATAATGTGGGATGAATCTTAATGGGGTACCTTGAAAATATCACAGGAGGATTGCAGAGAAGTTATTGTTTCAGACATACACATAACTGGGGGCTCTGAAATGCCGTGGATCAATTAGTTATCACAGTATCAACTGCAGAATTCCTCTAACCTCTTTATCCCTTGTATAACCCCCCTCTGTCCTTCCAAATATATGCACTCATGTATTCATTCATTTCAAAAATACTAAATACTTCCTATGTACCAAGATCTGTACAAAATTAACAAAGATCTTTGACTGTGATGTTTATAGCAGAGATACACAATTTTTTGTTTTGCTTTGTTTGTTTGTTTATTTGTTTTGTTTTGTTTTGTTTCGTGTTTGACAGGGTCTCCCTAGCTCCAGCCTGCCTGGAACTCACTATGTAGACCATGCTGGCCTTGATCTCACAAAGATCTGTCTGCTTCTGCCTCCCAAGTGTTGGCATTAAAGGTGTGCAACATCATACCCAGTATGAGATACACAATTATTAAGTTTACATAGGTATGTGAAAAAGTAGTAAGTTCTTTGAAAAGAAGAGCTATAAGGAGAAAGAAACATGGGCAAGTTGGAGTTTTGAGGAGTCTTGGGGATATTGCAATATGAAGTTGGGTTCTAGGGTAAGCATCAGTGAGAAGGTAATATTTGGGGAAAGACTTGAATATTGTTGTTGGTTCTGCTAATATCTGAGGGAGGAACATTGCAGACCAAGTGTCATGCACACAACAAGAAAAAACTCCCTAAGCAAGGGAGAGGTAGGTTCCTGCAAGAGACAGAGAGGAACAGAACTAGTGTGGCTGGAGCACAGAAGGTGGTAGCAGGTGATACTGGGGCTCTAAAATGTGACCATGTGGCCTTTTTAGACATTTTGAAGCTTGGGCTTTTCTTTTCAGTGAAATGGAAGGTCATTCTAGACTCTTGGCCAGAGAAGTGGACTTGATATGATTTATGCCATCAAAGAGTCACTCTGGCTATTGTAGGAGAATAGACTATTGAGGTCAAGGGTGAGAGTGGGATATCAGTGAGGAGGCTACTGAAATCAACATGTGAGAAATGATGGAGACTGAGACCAGATCAGTATCAGGAAATGTAATGGAAAACAGCCGGTTTCCATACCTTTTGAAGGCAGAACACATAAAATATTATGAAATGTTTGGTTTCTTCAGAGAAAGGTGACTATAAATATTTTTATTTGAGGAAGTGGAAGGATGGAGTGGATATGGACTCATACAAGGAAAGCTGTGGGTGGAGAAGGTTTGAAAGAAGACTTAAAGTTCAGATTTGGCATTCTAAGGCCTGTATTACAAAATCTTTACTCATAATTCAAGGATGAAAAGTGTTAAGCAATGACTACACAAAAAAGATAAGGCATTGATTTATGTGTAGACTGGGGAAGGCAACAATTTTTTTGGTTAGACTATTCTATCATGTATTATAAGATGGTTTTACTCTTTTGCTGTTTGGTTCAATAAATCTTCTTGTCTATAAAAAAATTCAGTTTTGGACAGAATGATAGAGGTGTCTAATAAACATCTGTGGTAGTTTGAATGAGAATGTCCCCCATAGGCTCCAAGTATTTGGACATTTCCCAAGTTGGTGGTGCTGTTTTGGGAGGTCTTAAAAGGTGTGGTCATGTTGGAGGACGCCAGTCACTGGTGGCAGACTTAGAGAGTTCTCAAGCCTTGCTGGATCTCTAGTCACCCCCTGTTTCCTGTGCCTGCTTGAACAGGTGTGTGCTTAGCTTCTGATCCTACCCTAGCCACCTATGTTGCCATGCCTACCCACCATGATGGACTCTTGCCCCTTTGGAACAGTAAACTAAATAAACTCCTCCTTTTATAACTTCCCTTGGTCATGGTGTTTCTATCACAGCAACACAAAGGTAACTAATACAGCATCCAAGTGGAGATGCTGAGTTGATGGCACATACATAAGACTGAGTTTTGCATTGAAGTCTATTCAAAGACAGGAATGTTCATTATCATAGTATTCAAAGTCAAGAGACTGGCTGAGCATGGGCTTCCTCTCCAGGAAGACTAAGAATTATTTCTACCTTGAAGCAAAAGGCTGCTTGCTCTAAATCTCTATATCCCCCTCTGAGTCTAGCCTGAAGACTGACTTACACCATGCTTAGAAAAATTACTGATTTAGAGTAAACCTAATTCAGACCATCCTTTGACTAGCTTATTCCCTTGCCTCTCCTCCACCCACCTACCCAGATATGCCAGAGTCCTGAGCCTAACAGAATCCATTGACAAACATTGATAAAGGTTAAAATGATGCCTTATTCTCTTGTCATTTTTTAGGACAGGGTTTCATGTCTCAGGCTACCCACAAACTCACCATATAGTCAAGGATGAGCTTGAATTCCTGCTCTCCTGCTCTCCTGCCCTCTACTGCCCAAGTTCTAGAATTACAGGCATGAGTCACTATGCCAGGTTCCCACAATTTTTGTGATCCTAGAACTTGTCTAAAACAGGGCTCCCCCATATTACTCTATGATCCATTACTGCTCCATACTGCCCCATAGTGGTAAGAAATTTCTGCCTTTAGATCAAAATAACATGTTCTCATAGAATGGTCCTTTGCCTGGGACTGTCAAATTTGAAATCATCTCACACAGATGATCCCACAATACCTGCTGACATTAATTATCCACTGCTCTCTGGGCTTTACCAAAATGCAAATGGTTTAAGGATGACTATCACCTGCCCTCCAACTGGACAGAATAGCTTCTGGTGGTAAAAATTAGAAGTTTTTATTCTCTGAGGAGAAAGCTGGTAATTATCTGGCCATAATAACATCTCCTTGTTTTAAAACTGTCCTAAGTGATCAGCACCATCCTGGTAGCTATAACTGCACTATCAGTGATGATGTCAACACAGTTAAAGTTCAACTAAACACTCCCACTTCTAAAGTCCAAGGGCCTCTGAGCTCCGTAATTCTCAACAGTTCACATGGAAGTCACATCTTCTTAGCTTGGAGACCCTATATGTTCCAAATACAGTCACCCATACCAAACGAACAAAGAATTAGCCTTTTGTTTGGTGTCTTTCAAATATTAAGTGGCAGTTTTGTCATTCCACATCGAAAATATTTCTTCCAGCTCACGGGAAATGCTTGTAGATTCACACACAATGTCCTTACTCTGAAAGTCCTACTTGGAGTTTACTCACTTATTCATGAGTCATTCCTTCATCATCATTTTTCCTTGTGAGGAAGAAGACTAGTCAAGAAGGCATTTTATTGGTCCAAATTTGTGGAGACAGAGGCACAGAACAGCCTGTTAATTTGTCCCAGCTCACACAGCTCCAGTTCATACTGGTATGACGTGGGCCTATGGGTTTATTAGAATCATCATTCAGTCTTCCATGATCTCAGCTATACAACCATATTTTTGACTGACTCTCAGTGACTGGAGAGAACTAGCAGAATTTTTTAACTCAGCAGTAAATATTTTTAAGCTTGTTCATTACTGTAGATGATGAATCAAGACCTAAGTGCTGCTTTGATGGTGGTGTAGAGACATTTGGCTCTTTATTTCTCTCCTAAGTCAATTATACATCAGACCATTGACACTGAATTCTTAGTAAATATCATCTAATCTAGTTCAAGTACACATACAAATTGAGAACCTGAGAAGAGAGAAAGTATCAAAGCCTTAGAAGAGAGTGGTACATGGAAAGTACTAGGAGAATTTAGAAGATGATGTGACTTCAGCTTGGGGATCAGAGATATTTTCATCAATGAGGAGGCTCTTAATGTATACCTGACAGATAATTGTGATTAGCAAATCTGACCACAGGGCATGGTAGAGGATACACAGCCACCATCCCGGGCTGTAGTTCTGGGAATGAAGATGTAGCCTGGTTCATGGTATCACACATCCTTCCCAGTGCTATTCTTCCCAGGTAAAATTATAGAGCTGTTTCATCTGGTTTCCTCTCTTACGGAGCATGTAAGAGCCCTTGTGTGAGGATCAACTTATTTCAACAACCCAGTTCTAGCCCTATAACCAAGTCTTTGTTCCTTACCTGGGAAAACTGGGCAAAGCTGCGGTCTGAAAACAAAGGCACATGTCCCAAAAGTTCATGGCAGATGTCACTGAAAGACAGAAAGCACAGGGCTTAGAGGAGAGGCAGGATACACTAAACCAGGAATGGGCAGGGAGAAATGAAGTAACTCATTTAAACTTGGGACCTAACTCTCAAGACTAAGCACAATGCAGAGGCTGAGATGAGTTGAAACCAGGTACAAAAGAAAAGGAAGGAGGATAAAGGAGACAGAAGGCAAGGCACAGAGCAGACAGGAATCCTAGGATGTGGGAGACAGGCTTGAGCCTAGGGTGAAAGCCTTAATGACAGCCATAGAGCAGGCCTGAGGTGACGGCCTGACCGCTGGAGCCACAAGGAACGCCTTGTGACATTTGCTCCCATTGGCAGATCAGGAGACTGAAGCCTAGAGCTCGGCACTCCCTAATCACCACCCTTGGAATTCCAAATTGCAACACTTAGATATTGCAACAGTCAGGGTCACATGGTTTCCACAAATCCAGGCTCTGTAATGTGAAACCTGCTATACTGTGATAGGACGCTGTCTGTTATGCACTTGCTGTGCTATGATTGGACCACTACCCCTATATAAGCTTGTGCCTTCCTGCAATAAAGTAGATCTGTGTCACTGAACCTGGTGTCCTGTGTCTGAATATGGCTCTGCTAACACAGTCTCCTCACCAGCCCTGGGGTCTGGGACTGGGCAGAAGCAGCGAGAGCAGCTTCAGCGCCAGCGAGCAGAAGAGTGGCCTCAGCCCAGGGCAAGCTGAGGAGTGCCTGGGTGCAGGTGCGAGGGAGGAGCAGCTGCGGCACCTATAAGAACAAAGGGGTGGCACCCGTGCAAACAGAGGAGTGGCCACCCGTGGCCACTGCACTAGGAGACACACAGGGGTGGGGTAGAACCCGAGAGCAAATGTTCCTCCGGGTGTCATATACACATGAGGAAGTTGTAGACTATGAACTCCTCCAATGGCAAGTCTTGCTACTCTCTTCACTTTCCTGGGAAGGACAATGTGCCCACTTTCCCCCAATCTTTAAAAGATTGTGCTGCTCTACTCTTCGCTCAGAGGGGGTCAGCAGTCAAAAAAGAAAGACTACATTTAATTTTAGAAGTTCCACATTAATGAGGAACATGTCTTTTCTGATCAGTAGCAGTGACTATGATGGAGATGGAAAAATGACTTAGGGCAAACTCTTGATCTTTGGGGATAAATTTCTTTGTGACTCATGTGATGGCTAAACCCCAAGAGGAAGCACAGTAGTCAGTTGTCCTTTCCCTTTAGCCAAGATATAATCTAGGCAAAGAGCTGGAATCATCCAGATGTCTATTTGGGAGATGCTGAGATAGCATTCCTGCCACTTGTTTCTGTCCCGTTTGGGACTTCAGAAGTCTGACATTGGAACTTGAATAAGGCCTCTTTCCCTGCTGTCCTAGGAGAGCCAGATCCTCATCTCACAGGATATGCCAATCTGTGCATCCAAATTTCATCCATTTGGACAGAGAAAAATCCCCAGAGTAGAGGAATTTCTTTTAGTACTGTGATCAAATTACCCAGGCAGCTAATTGTGTGGACCAGCCTGCAATGAATCTAAGCATCATTCTTAGAGCAGGAAGGGCTGATGTCTACTGAATGGCAAGTGGTAGTCAGAAAATGATACTCACGGTTCAGGTGTATACATGGGCTTGGATCCATGTCTAATGTACTGAGTGCAGTGGAAGACTCGAAAGGCCAAGCCACCTAAGAAATCTCTAGAGGACAGCAAGCCAGCAACAGGTCGGAGGCGGAAACCAGTACAAGCTGAAAAGCAGTAAAGAACGTAAAACTCAAAGCTTATTATGATGAATCCAGTGGAGCTAAGAGTCCCCAGGTAGAGATGAAATACATGCAAATGCCCAAGAATGTAGGCTTTGCTACCAAATGAACTTGGCTTCCAATCTCTATCCCGTTGCTTGATTGGCCCCAGTTGGCTAATTTGAGATAAGTAAACTCATATTTCTGAGCCTCAGTTTTCTCATCTGAAAAATGGAGATGGGTACTGCTGAAGGATATTCTAAGCATCAGAACAGTAACAACTAAACATTACTTAGTATAGAGCCTAGTTCACTGAAAATATCCAGCAAGTTTCCTTTTGTTATTGTTTATTAGGGTCAAACACTTTCTCACTACTTCTTGTGTTTCCAGAATAACAAGAAGACTTTTGATCAGCTTCCCAGAGCGTGGAACGAGAACTTCCAGCATCTCTACCACACCACACACAGTCCATCCTGTGAGGTGAAATGTCCTGTCTGATTAGAGTAATGAAGACAAGGAAATAAATGTTCTCAATTTAACCTTTTCCTACTACTCCTTCTCTCTTGATGACCCATGGAGAAGAATGTGTTGCTTTCTCTTAGGACACATTGAAAGCACTGAGAACTGACAGCTGTTTCTCCAATCAAAGGGTAAAATATTGGGAAGTCTATTTTGACCACACACCTATACCACATCCTCTAAATGGCTTTGCTTTTTAAATTTTTATTTATTATTTTTATTTTATGTGTGTGAGTGTATTGCCTGCATGTTTATAAGTGCACCCATGTTGTACAATGCCCAAGGAGGTCAAAAGAGGGTGTCAGATTTCCCTGGAATTGGAGTTACGGATAGTTGTTAAATGCCATGTGGGTGCTGGGAATCGAACCAGGGTCCTTTGCAAGAGCAGCCTGTGCTCTTAACTGCTGAGTCATCTCTCCAGCCCCTAAATAGTTTTTCTTTAAACTAACAATTCCATACCCATCCTCTGGTTTCTCAGTTAGCTTTACAAATTTGATTTAAAAAAAAAAAACAGTAGCTAGCATTATATATTACATAATCTATTTCAAGACTTCTCTAAGCACTTTCCACAAACTAACCCTTGTAATAACTGAGGCAGAGGTGCTCTCATCCTCACTTTACAGATCAGGAAGCTGAGACACAGGTCAAAGCTCCAGTCCAAGGTCATAAGCCATAAACAATTTGGCTTCAGAGTCTGTTCTCTTAATCACAATTATGTAACTCCCCAACTGCTGGTATTACTGTTTTATTATTCTTTCTACTGGCCACAGTATCAGACTGCCTTTAGGATCAGCTGTCTGTCCTTCACTCTGCATTTTCAGGATGATGATCACTCTGCTTGACTGCTCACTCTTCACCTTATCCTACAAGTAAAGACTTTTTAAATGGAAGAATCTCTGAAGGTCATCTAACCAGTCTGCTGCAGTTAGGACTTCCTTCCCTGTCATCTAGTTCCCTGGTTTGTTACCCATCTTTTCAAGGTTGTAATGCATAGAAAATTCTTGATTTCCATACACTTGGGGTCTGTTTCCCTACTTTTCCTTGCTCTAGCTAGTGTATAGTGGGTATTCAATGTGAGTTAGTTGAATGCTTAGGTTTTTCTGAATTAACACCATCTTGGCAGAAAGAAGGAAATTATTTCTCTCCTTTGGAAAGGCTATGCAGAGACCCATCACTCAGATAATGTATTTATCCACTGAGCTACTCAGATTACCATTAAGCCAAATTTGACTGAACACTGACTATGAATCCAGCCCTGTGCCAGGTGCTTTTATATGCAACATCTCACTTCCTTCTGATAGTTTCCCCATTAGGAATGCCAAAAGACTGACGCAGTTTCTACTTGACAGATGAAAACATGGGGGCAGATTTACACAGCCAGAGAAGGTCAAAAGCAGGATCCATCCCAGATGCATAGACTCAGAGCTCACAACTCTTGGCACTGACCCACAAAGAGCATATTCCTTGCACAAACTCACGTTGTAGCCATCTCATAGCAGGGGTGACTGCAGGGAGAACCTCACTGGGCACCTTGGACTTTGAGTATGAAAGAAAATGCTTTTCTAGACAGATGAATGGCAAAATCCATGCCTGGCAACCTTGCTTGGCAGCAAGATTAACAATGGAGGTGGGAGGGAAGGCAAACTACAATGCACTTGGTTCTTCCTAGGAGATCCAGCGTGTATGCCTTACCACTAACACCAACTCACAATTGCTTCCAACTACTTTTCTTCTTCTTCCCTCTTCTCTCCCCCAACCCTCTCCCCTCCCTGCGGGGCCTTGACCCTGATGTGGACTTACTCTGCAGAAATTGAGAAACATCTTCCAGCTGGGGAATGTTATCTTCACGGAAGCCACAGTACTTTTCCAGAAGTGGAAAAATGTGGTTGTGCTCATAGCAAGCATGGGTTTTATACAAGGCCTTCAGAGTCTTGAATACTGTCCCCCACGTCTTCTTCTCTTCTTCTGTGTATTCCACCCGAGGGATGAGCTGCCCACTAGAACACAAACATGAAATAGGTGTGTCCAACAGGGCAGAGTCAGAGCACACAGTGTGACAGGGTCAGCAGAGGGAGTTAGGTTCTAGCATTTGTGAGCTGCCACCACTGACCAGAATGGATTTCAAGCATTATTTAAAAGAGAAAATTTCCATTTCTGGATTCAGGAAACACTATAGTGTTGGTTCCCCCATGAAAGAGTGATTCGGTTGCTCAACTACCTAAGCTCTCACCTCAAGAACTGTGCTGAGGATGTTATTCTCGCTCTAAGAAGTCATTCGGCCTTTCTGCTCTTCGAACTGTCCAGTTATTAGCGCAGGGTGGAAATGCACTTACTTTCAGGGGCTAGACAGGGGGCATACAGGTGTATAGCAGTAGGTACAGGGGAGTAATGGGAACTGAGAGATGTGGAGAATGCGTCCTCTTTCCAAACGAAGGCACAAAAGTTCAGTGGAAGCACCAAGAGAGCCTTGTATTGTGTTAATGAAAGCAATCAAAGCTGACTACCCCGAACTGAAGCGGTGAGTTTGAAACTTGTTTAGTGTGTATGCACCTGCTGGGTTTGGTACTTCTGCTCCTGGGAAGTTATGAAGGTATTTAGCACCATGCTACATACCATAAATATATGCATTTATTTGTCAGTTAAAGAAATTCTAGATCAATGGTAAAAATAATACAGAAATAGATGTTGAGATGGTAGAGCAAGGAAATAAAATCATGCTAAAATATAAGATATGCTTACATATACCAAGTTTGTCAAAGTACGTAGGTGAGATGATGTTCCACACATTCTAAGAAGGGAAGACCTGGGACATGTGTATCTTAATAAGCTCCCTACGTGACTGATACAAGCTACAGTTTAAGAAGTATTAGTTTGGAATCACTGTGTCCTGAATAGTGAAAACAAATGAAAATCAAATAAAGCCTGACCTTGAGGACCAGAGACTATCCCCTGGGCTTCAGACCTGCACCCCTCACCAGGGACACAGAGTCTAGGACAACATGAGACTGTTTTCCTCAGAACTATGGATCTACTTCCAAAGTAGGTTCCTTCTTCACTTTCAAATTGTACCATATCCAAGGACATTAGAGCAAAGTCACTGTTATTTTCCACAGAAAAGTGGGCAGGGGTCAAGGAAGAAAGATTGTTGCTTGAGAATGAAAGGCAGTCAACTCAGAGGGTCTTCTGGTAGTCATGGAGGGAGTGCAAAACAATATGAGGTAAGCCTCTGCTTGTTTCAGGGTTAAGTGATGATGGAGAAGAAGAAAAAGACTTTGGAAATAGATAGAAACTGTCCAACACTTGGCCCTGCCATTTTCTGGATGTGTGGCCTCAAAACAATTTAGCATACTTCTGAGTGTTACTTGTACAGCTTATATATGGGCTAACAAGCATTTTTAAATATGTGAATAGTATTAAACTACTATTTATAAAGTACTATACATGAAGTTACGAACATTGGAACTGACAATAACCATTCATTGATTGTTATGATGGTAACTGGTTCTCATTTCAAAGAAGGATATTTATCCACATGGTGGGCAAGATCATGCATCAAATAAAGGCATTTGCTGTCAAGTCTGACAATCTGAGTTTGTTCCCTGGAATCCACATGGCAGAAAGAGTAGACTCACAGCCCATGTGGTAGCACACACCTTTAATCCCATCACTCTGAAGGTGGAGGCATGTGGATCTCTGTGAGATCAAAGCCAACCTGGTCTACACAGTGAGCTCCAGGCCAGCTGGGACTAAAAGAGCCTGTCTCAAAAAGACCAAAGAAAAGAAAAGAACTGACTCACACAAATCGTTTTCTGACCTCCACACACGAACCATGGCATGGACACACACACACATAATAAATCAGTTAATCAATCAATCAATCAATCAATCAACCAATGTTTAAAAAAACAAGAAAAGCTGTGGTATTTCTGAAACAAATTTCAAGGAATGATGACATTTTAGATACCCAAATGTCCTCCTGGTTGATATTTGCTTTTCCAGTGACCCAGCATCTCTTTCTCCTTCTTGTCGTAAAGCACCTTCCACCTGCTTCAATTTGCGAGCTTTGGAAGAGAGGACACTCAATTCCCACCTTGGCAGCTGAGCATATGATTAGGTTTGTCTAGTCATGATTTTCTTTGCCTTGACTTTAGTGACTGGCTGACAAATGGGTTGGTCTATGTCTATTCAGAGCTAACAAGGCTCAGTTACAGAACTTCGGCTGACTTTGTAGGGAAGAGACAGAACTTCTAATTGAGTTGAGGTGTCAAATGGATCCCATCTCTGAGACAGATGAGATCAAGCCTGACAACAAGAACAACACAAAAGACACAAGCTGGAGAAACTAAGACCCTGTGTCTTGTACCTGATTGGGCCCAGAGTTGCTAGACACCATGGAAATGGTTAAGAATAGTGGGATAGACAAAGCTAAAACCCTGCTTCTATCACCCACTAATTATATGATTTGGGCAAGTTATTAAATGTGTTTAAGTTTCAGTTTCCTCATCTGAAAAAATAAGGAGTTATTACAAGTCTAAACAAAATAACACACATAAGTGACTTAACAAAGTTCCATACACTTAGCAAGGAGATGATAGACACATTGACTCTGAAAATCTCTTGCCTGTACTGATTCGGTGGGATTGAGGCAATGTGGCTCTGGATCCTTTTACTACTGGGAGTCATTCAGAGAAGGAAATGTTCTTGCTTTCTCTGGATATCTTTCCATTTTGCAGGTAGCTTTGTGTTTAGTGTATGAAGTCTCAGCATCTCTTTGTATCACAGATATTCTACCAAAGCTGTTAAAGTGCTATTACCTCAGCCTTCTGGATGACTCAGGGATCTCTTTGTACATGTCTCTTCTTATTTCCTTAACTCAGAAACTGCTTTCCCCCAACATAGTTTCCCATGTCAAGATTTATATAGCTCCAAAGGAATTCAGAACAGTAAAGCCATTCTCTTCTCAAACAACATATTTGATATTGCTATTTTCTTTTGGGTATAATAAGATAGGAGGAACATGGCTTCTGAACATGAAAAAAAAAGCCATCCTACAGTGACTCTACACAGATAAAAGTAAAAGCCTGGCGTGAGGCTGGTCTAAGTCTTCAATGATTCATTATTTCAACTGAGCTTCCAGCTTCCTCTTGAATGTAAATGATTCTCATTTTCCTTCTTCTTGGCTTAATGTAGAGAAGACCAAAGGCTGTTTCATGCTGGATGGAAGCATTTGTAATTATGTAGACACTTCATAATTAGCTAGCAAAGCTTGGGAAAAAGCTAGGTCCCAGCACAGTGGATAGTTTTGCTTTACCTAGAGGAAATTTTTTTAAAACACGTGTCTTAAGGAGAGGGTTTAAACTCATGCACAGACACAAAGTTGGGTGTTCCGGGCTGATGGTTTCCAACCTCTAGAGAGCAAGGGTGAGGGGTGTGCTCTTCTCTTTGTTCTCCAACGGGGAAGACTTACTGGCGGTAGTTGTAGGCAATGTCAGCAAACTGCTTTCGTCTTGCCCGGTACACGGGATCTTTAAAACCCTAGGAGAGAGGAGACACTTGATGACTCAAAAAGGGAGATACCCAGCACTTCCATCAAGGATCTAAGTGGAAACTTTTGAGCTATGACAATACATGTCTCCCTTCTCTAGTTATACCCTAAAAACAATCTCAGTTAAATACAGAGGGGGCTTTCCCACTGTTGTGACCCACTGTCAGCCATACCTTCAATTCAATGAAATCTTCCCCATCATATGATTCCAATGTCTACAAGTATACTCTTGCCTTTCTAAAAATATCTCATCTACAGTATTTCCAGCTTCTAAAACAGCTAGATTATGCAAAGTCAGTGAGATAGATGTCTGTGGTGAAGACATAATATCCACTTAATTCCTGGCAAGTGGCATGTGCTTACTAATGCCCCCTTACTTCTTTAGTGTGAGTATCGGAGGGGTGATTGTGGGTGTGTAGGTAGGTGTGCATGTTTGTGTGCACATGTGTAGGGAGAGTTGAGTACAAAGTTCAACCTAGGGTGTTGTTCCTCAAAAGACTTCCACCTCGTTTTCTGAGTCAAGCCTGTGCCACCACGCCAAGATTTTGACATGGATGCTGAGGATAGAGCTGGGTCCTCATGGTTCTACAACAAGCACTCTACTGACTGAGATATAATCACAGTTTTCATTTTTTTTTAAAGGCGGCCACTATGGAAATCAGTATGGAGTTTCCTCCTCATTTTCTGATAGACAAATGGGGACATATTTATGGCTATGGCACTTTATATTTTGTTTTCTTATTTTCTTGAGCTATAGGGCTCAGGCTGGCTTCAATCCTCCTGCCTCAGCCTCCCAAGTGTTAAGATTACAGGTGTGTGCCACCAAGCCCTGCAGGCAATTTCTAACAATGACATTCACCAGGTGCCAACTATTGTAATTTTTGACCCAAGTTTTTCAGGTGGATCAGTATGACTATTCCCTTCTTTCCAAAATAAACAGAGGAAGTAGCTTAGTGGGGAGGCCAGGCTGTGGATTGCCCAGTTCTCTGCTTTTTTTTACTAAACTTCAGTAACTGTCAACCTTTACAACCTGGCAGGGGCTCAACTGACTGAGAAATCCACCTCTGGACACAGGACGGATAATGGCTTCTTCTCCGAGGCTGACTGGCAGGCAGCCTTTTTCCAGTCGTTCCAAGCAGCGTATTTCCAAGTGAAAAGAAGCCAAGTGTGCCTCTGAGTGTTCTGGGTGGGGTGGGGCACATGATGAGTTGGAAGTGATCCAATTGGTGAAAAGGGTATTTTATAGAAAAGTTGATTGTAATCTGAATTTTGGTGAGACAAGAGACTAGTCCATCACTGCAGAATTCGTTTTTGTTCCCTACAAGCATTTCCTAACAATTCCTTCCATAAATCACTTTAGTTTGCAATTTATCTGTCTCTCCCGTCCTCCAAAATGGCCTCAATGAATCAAATACTGAGGCTTATATGTCATGAAGTGCCATGTTTAAAGGAGCCCTTTAAATGGTAACTATTCTCTGATTTTTTTTAATGTTCCCTTTGTTTTGTTTGCTTGATTGGTTTGTTGGGGTTTGTTTGTTTGTTTGTTTGCTTTTAATATCAGAGCAAATCAGAAATCCCAAGAAACCCACACTCAATTTGTATAAAATGGCAATTTCAGCTCAGAATCTGTTGCTGAAAACCTGGAGCTCAGAAAGAGCTACAGATGCAGAAAGAAGCAGAGGCAGGGCAGAAGGGATGGGGGAAGGGGAGGGGTCTAGTTCACTGGGAAGGGTTTTGAGAAATGTCAAATTCTAAATGCTTCACACTAGAAAAATAAGGTAAAATTGCTATGCATTATTTATTCCAAATCCAAATCCCTATTGTAGGAAGTTAGTTCTCAGTTTAAAGAAGATTTCATGACATGGTTGTTAAAAAGTACAAGTCATTGTGACTGGAGAGGTAGCTCAGCCATTAGGAGCACTGGTGCACTTGCATCGGATCTGAGTTTGGTTCCCAGCACCCACATGGGAGCTAACAATCATGTAATTTCAGTTCCATGGGATCCAATGCCCTCTTCTGGCCTCTATGGATACTGCATACACATGGTATACTTACATACACACAGACAAAGCACTCATACACATAAAATTAATTAGTTAATAAAAAATGAAGTTCAAGCCATTGTTTTCCCTAAAGCACTGGCTGGTTTTAAGTCACTAATTACAAATAAGGGGGCCGATGTGATGGCTCAGCAGTTAAGAATGCTTGCTCCTCTCTCAGAGGACCTGAGTTTGGTTCTCAACACCCACATAGGTGGCTCACAACCACTTGTAAATTCAACTCCAGAGAAAACAACACCTTCTAGCCTCCACGGGCACCCATACACATATTACACACACACACACACACACACACACACACACACACACACACATAAATAAAAGTAAAATAAATCAAATTTTTATGCTTCTTCCTCAAATATAACTCATTTTTTAATTGTTGATTTTGTGTGTGTGTGTGTATTTCACACAGAACATCCCAAACAATCTTACTCTTCTATATACCCACATCCCAAATGGCACCTTCCCATAGCCCTCCTCCCTCCTCCACTGGAACCCATACACTCTGTCATCCCTGTTACTGTCTACTGTGTTGTGGGTGCTCCCAGCCATTCCGCAGTACTTGTCTATCTGCTGAATCTGGTCAGCCTATCCAGAATTCCTTGTTTTAGGAAGATCAGCTGTTCCTCATCTAGCAGCAATCAGTTGCCAATATTCCTTAAGATAAGATTGGAGTTTGCTGTTCATTTTCCCAGTTCTGTGCTGGGTTACTGTCTGGGAGTCTCTTGGGCCACCTGGGCCAACAACTCAAACATTACCATTGAAATTTACCTGATGACTTTATATCCATGCTCAGGTGCCAAGGATCTCAGAAAGTAACTGACTGTGACTAGTAATAATCAGATACATAGAGATTGGAGATGCAGCATTAATTCAACTGTGAACCTAAAAATTTACAGCCAATGTTGAAAGAGATGAATCTTTGCTCTGGAAACTGTACCTGAGTATGTTAATGCTGCAATGAAATGCTTCTTCTAACCATGTAGTTATTAAATAAATAATATTTAAAAAATAAAATAAAATAAATCTTTTTAAAAAAACAAATAGGGAATTTGGGGATTTGTTTCTTTGTTTAGGTTTGATTTTTGTTTGTTTGTTTTTGAGACAGTAGCTCAAGTTGACCCGAGATTCTCCTGCTCTAGGCTCCCGAGTGCTGAGATTACAGATGTATGCTACTATGTCAGGCCTTAGGGACCTAACAACTTGCAATAATCATAAGGTTCACTTATGATGGGATTTGGGATGATCTAGTAAGAAAATTGGGCATCATGATATCATTTCCAAGTAGCATCAACATAATTTGGATAACCTGTGTACCTGAATAACCAATGAACATTTACTTATCCATATCTTCATACTTGGACTGAAAATATAAATTTAATTATAAATTTAACAGTTGTCATCTTTACCTGCCAGTCTTAACAGATATTAGTATATATGTCTCTCTAGTCCTAAATATGAAAGAAAGATTTTCACACTGTTAAGCACCCTGGAGAATGCCTTTTGCTATTTTTTAATGTTTTATTATTTTTATTTTATGTGTATGAATGTTTTGCCTGCATGCATGTAAGTTTGCCACATGCCTGCAGTACCCATGGAGGCCAGTTAAGGTTATTGGATTCCCCTGGAACTGGATGGTTGTCAGCTTCTAGGTGGGTGCTGGGAACCCAACCCAGGTCCTCTGGAAAAGCAGTAAGTGCTTTTAACCACTGAGCTCCTCTTTTGCTTTGTTTTGAGCCTAGGAATGTGGACATTGAAGCCCATTAGATCATTTCTTAAGGGTCCTTCATTGCAAATATCAGCATTTTGATTGAGGTTTAGGCTTAAAGGGGCTGGCAAGTTGAAAAATGAGAGTTGAAGCAGGAAAGTGAGGACTCAGAAGAAGAATCATTTAATGGATATTTCCATTTCCCAATGCCTCCAGGAAAGGGATGCCTGCATACACTTCTCACCCCCATTCAACTATTGTTCATCATTTAATATACTTTGTCTAGGTGGTTTAAGTTTTTCCACCTGTGAAAACAAACTCAATATAAAATTACGTATGTTGGGGCCTGGAGAGATTGCTCAATGGTTAAGAGCACTGCTGCTCTTCAAAAGGACTCAGGTTTGGTTCCCAGCACCCACATGAAGGCTGACAACTGTCAGTAACTCCAGTTCCAGTGGATCTGATGCCCTCTTCTGGCCTCCATGGACATTGCATGATGCAGATGCACTTATACACATGCAGGCAAAGCACTTATATACATTAAAAAAAAAACATAAAAAACTCAAATAAATAAAAACTATACATGTAGTAGATACCACTATGTCCAGGGGAATATATAATGAATATGCCGGACTCTAATAAATGTTCCTTACAGAGAGTGGGTGAAACAGGTAACCAAAAATAGTTTGACTTTTGTACTATTTATGTTTTTGAAGCTTCTGCTGTGAGTATGGATTTCTTTCATAATGGGGGAGGGGGGGCAAGACAATATTAAAACCGCATTTCAAATCATTTGAGGGAAGTGGCAGAAGATTCTTTCATTGCATTGCATGAGCTGACATGTATAGCATCTTGTGGAGATAAATATTGAAAGCTTCCTAACCATGCTTTTTTCCAGCTAGTGTCTCTAAGAAGTTCATTATCAGTCTTCAAAGAGCTATTACCAATCAGATCTCAGGGACTTTGGTTCAACCAGCTACTGGTGATCAGATCTGTGACCCCAAATTCTCTCCTTTCAGGGATTTGTCTTTTCATCTTTTGGGTTGCCAGGTGACCATGCAGCCTCCATGGCCATCACCATGAAATGCATTCTGAATTAAGCTGCAGTTGGTGATGACTGATCACCCTGTCTCAATTTAGACTAATAGCAGCAATTTCAGTAGCACTGCATGTAATTTATTTATAATCACCCTGTCTCAATTAAGCTAATAGCAGCAATTTTGGTTGCCCTGCATGTAACCAAGTATGTTTTGACAGGAAAATATATTGTCAGTGAGGAAGTGGTGGGGTAAAGGGAACATGGAGGAAGAGAAGAGGAAAATCAGAGCAAAGTTTGTAAGATGAGAAATTATGACATCACCAGAGTCTGTATGCCACTCCTTTTCTTACCTCAGAAGTTTTGTTAAGAGATTCTTCTAGACTGAGATGTCTAGTTCATCATTTTTTTATGTCATAGCTGAAGTTAAAGCTCATCTTCAGGCCAGCAAGGACTACCTACATACTAACTTGTCTACTTGCTGGCAGCACGGCCCCATGTTGGCCAGTTAATCTATCAGAGTCTTAGTTCCTTCATCAGGAAAACAAGATTGTTAACCATGCTTACTTCTCATGTGTATTGGGTCAGGTAATGTAGGTTGAGTACCAGGTAAATATGTGAGTGCAGAGGGCAGAGTGGGCACTCAGAGAATGACACATTCATGAAAAATGGAGAAACACACAGGAATCTGGCTCAGAACATAAGGAGGATATACTCTGGAATGGGCCTTTGAGTTCCACCACCTACCCTTGGGTCTCTTAAGGTACTTGTTCCTCAAGCCTAATGATTTGAATTTGATGTCTTCAACCCACTTGGTGGAAGGAGAGGACCAACTCCCACAGATTGATCTTTGACCTCCACAGGAGTGTCATGGCTGCCACACATGTGCTCACACACACATCATACATGTATACATACACACATTAATGATAAATAAATTTAACAAATAGAAAATAAACAATAATAATTGTTGGAACATTGAAGAAAAGGGATCGCTGTACACTGCTGGTGGAAATATAAAATGACGTGGCCATCATGGAAAACAGCATGATGCTCTTGAAACACTAAAAGTGGAACTCTCAAATTATTCAGCAAATCCATGTGCATACAGTCCTTCCTACAGTAACCATGCGCAATTCTGAGGCCGAAAGACGAGGTAGGAGGAAGACTTTCAAGAGGCAAGAGATAAGAGTTGAGCCTTAGAAAATGAGTAGTAGAAAAAGAATGGGCCTGGGAGAAGGGAGAGCAACTCAAGTAAAGGACACAGCTTGATCAGTTCGGAGAATGGAAATTAAACACAACCATGGGGGCTCTGCCTACCAAGTTAGCTTACAGTTGCTACTTTGCGGTTTCCTGGCATCACTTTGAAATAAAAGAACAGCAAGCATCCCTTCTCCCTCTGCTCTGCAATCACAGGGCCCAGGGGGCAGGAATCACTTCCTAGTTATCACTTCAGCTCCTTCCTTTATCTGTCTTGGAACATAACTCACAGACACATCTTCCTATGAGTTCTTATCTGAAAAAGAAAAGTATAATCCTACCTTGGTAAATACTGAAATTAGAAACCACATGCCAAGCATTTAGCACAGTGTCTGGCACACATACTATATTCAAGAAAAGGCACCTATTAATACTGTTAGCTTGACAGATGTTTGTGGAAAGGAAGAAGGGAAGGGCAGCAAAGACAAAGTGTGGCAGCAAAGAAAATGAGGCTGGAGGGACAGAGTGAAGGACCACTAACCTCCATTCCCCACTTAGCTGAAACTGAAGGTGGACTGTCTTTGTTTGTAGAACAATCTTTCCTTTCCCTCATTTCACAAAGTGGCTGTTTAGGAGGCTCTGATGTATTAAGACAAACATGAATGTATCCTGCAAAGGCTAGGGGTTCAGGGAAAGAAAGGATAATGCTGACTGTAAGGGACAGAGTAGAACAGAAGGTCCTTGCAGGAGAACAACCCCTTCACTACTGGGTTAGTGTCTGCTTGCAGTTTGCACCTTGACGCCAGGCCTGGAGCCTGCAAGAAAGCACCCGCGGTGCTTGGCCCCTATTCCCACGACCTAATGAAAACCTTAAGGAACAGAGAGAGCCTGGTGCCTTCCCTTCAGTGAAGACTGTGTACCTGGTCAGTTGCAGTTTTATGATAAAATCCATGACACCGAAAGGCCAGAAAGCTAAAGTTGTGGCCTGTGCTGGCAAAGAGAAATGAATTCCAGAGAGTTTTAAGGCTTCTGAGGGGACACGGGAGTAAAGGGAAGAAAATGTCCCTCTCTCTCTCTCTCTCTCTCTCTCTCTCTCTCTCTCTGGACTGACTTTTCCCACCAACCCAAATGAATAGGAGGCCAACAGAAAGAACAGATGGTCAAGGCAGAAAAGACGGGCTCATTAGAGAAGAAAAGTCTAGATATGCAGACCCTATGTTCTGGGTCAAGATGGGACAGACTGCTTTCCTAAGAAAAGAAATCTCTTACCATCATACCTAAGGTGCCTCCCAGCCAACCCCACAGTGCCTCAGCACTGCAGAATCCTGAGTCGCCACAGCAGATGGACTCCCCTCAGCCAACCTTTTCTCATCTAACTAGCATCTGTCACTCAACTTTGAAGATTCAGTGTCACCTCCTCCTGCCCCACTGACCTTTACAGGTAGAAGAGTTGTTGAGATAGCTTGCTGTTCCCTGAATACTTGATTTAAACTTCTATAATAAACATACAAAGGCAGAAATGGGGATGGTTTTGTGTGATTTGGGCTTACATTTGATTGCCTAGAGACAGAAGTTTCTAGCCAGTGGTTCACAGTTAACATTATGTGATAACGATCATAATAATGACGACAGTGAGGTCTTGCTAATCTTTGTCTCCTTGGCCTTGGTGTAAGGAGGAACTCAGTAAATGTTTGTTGAACAAATAAACAACCATGCTGCTCCAAGCTGAGGATATAGAGGGGCAGAGAGGAAGAGAAGCTAGAGGAGAGGGGAAGAGGAGGTTGAAGGACTCTCATTTTAAGAGCATAGACTCACTGGGTGGTCTGCATCCAGTTCAGCTCCATAGCTGAGAATCTGATTGGCAAATCTGTCCAGTTCTTGAATGGTCCTCGGGAACCAGGGCACTGCAACACAGAAAGGACAGAGTCCTGAGTACAGAGGGTAGAATCCATGGCCCAAGTCTCTGGCCAAAGGTTAAAGTACAGTGTGAGCCTCAATCAGTCAAGTTCATGGCAGCACCAAGTGGGATTCTACATAACTCCTAAATTACTGTACTGATTTTAAAATAGATCCTAAGGAGGCATCCAGACCTGCTCTGAGCCTTGACCTGGGACGTTCTTCCTCAGGACTCTCCACCCCAGGGGAGAAAGAGTGAGAAGGTCCCCTACATAGTCCTCTACTGAATCCCATTAAGGGGTCCATTCCCTGTCCACAGAACACAGGACAAAGTAAAGCTCCCCTCTCTGGTATGTCAGACTTTTGGAAATCTGACCCAAACCCACACCAAGCTCTAACCCTCAAGTCTGAAGGCATCGTGAATTATTTCTGACTCATTTCTTTTCTATCCTTCACAATTGTCTCTCATGATTTTTCATCATCAGAAAAATATTATATGTAGTCCCAAATATAGATTAACTAAAGAGTAGGTAAAAAGATGAGACCCCAACTTCCCACTGCATGCCTCCCTCCTAGGTGCCTTGGGCATCCCTATAAAGCCTTTGCTCTCAAAGCCAGTTACAGCTACTCCTGAAGTGATGGCTTGGGTCTTGCAGAGCTTGGTAACTGAAGCACTGTAGTGGGAGAGGACAAGGTGCCTGAGTTCTGTGGTCCGTAATAATGGTGTTCTGCCTATGGAGACACCAGGAAGAAGGGCACAGGGTACCATCCAAATCTTCATGGCTTACAAGTGTTCTGAGAACAAACTAAGACTTGGAAAATGTGAGCTGTGAGTTCCCGGGAGGACGGGAGCCATGAATGCTGTGTAGTTGCAGAGAAAATGGAGGCACAGGAGGGAGGGGTGGGGGAGTCAGGGAAGGAAGAGAGGATGCAGGGCTCAGACCATGAGGACATGTAAGGCTTTAGCAATAGCAACCACTGTCCACAGTCTCTATTCTTTTTTAGTTCTTGTTTCTGAAGTCTCCTCAGAATAAGGACCGTATTACAACCTCTATTGTGCAGATAATAATCAAGTCTTTAAAAATCTGTAAATCAAAATGACTGGTTTAAGACCACTCAGGGGCTAAAACAGTGGCAGAATGAGGAGAGCAGAGAGGTGTGGTTGGGGGGACTTCCAGTGAGGCAAGGAAGCAGCTGCGACTGCTGAAGTCATACTTACAGGCCAGTGCTGAACTGGTGAGCAGTGCCAGCCTGGCTTCATCTGCCCACTGTCTCTGTGATCAGCCCCTTCTCTGTAAAGATAGAATACTAACAATAGGAAGGACCACCAATGTTTTCTGAAGCCTTAGCATATGCCGGGCACTAAGTTTGGCATTTTGTGTGGAGTGTCTCTTTTTTTTCTAACTTAAAAAAAATTATTTATTTTATGTATATGTGTGTATTGCCTGCATGTCGGATCCCCTGGGCCTGGCGTTACAGACAGTTGTTAGCTGCCATGTGGGGGCTGGTATTGAACCCAGGTCTTCTGCAAGAACAACCAGTGTTCTTAACCACTGAGCCATCTCTCCAGCCCCCGAGTGCTTCCTTTAAGTTGAAGTTGCTGTGAGGAAAAAGTTAAGGAGACAATAGGCACAGTCCAATGCTTCCCACAAGAAAGGCGCTGATTCCCACCTCCGGAGAGATGAAAAAGAGTATTTGTGCCATCTAGTGGTAAATTTGAGCAAGTGCTACCCGAGATCTCAAGAGCCTGGAGACTAGAATCAGGAACAGCATTTCATTTTCCCCCAAACAAGCAAACCAGGACAGCTTATCCCAACTGTGTTTATAAAACGAAGTCAGAGTCTCAATTTTGTAGATAAAATATGCATAAGATTTCTACTCCCCATGTCAACATTGCATACCAACACTGAATGCTGGTCTAAATATTTTACCTATGGGGTAAGTTCTTTTGGCATCACCATATATACCAGAGAACCTAAGGTACACAAATGTTACGTCATTGTAAAGTACGCTGATTTTTTAAAGTCAGGCAAACATTTTCCCAAGTGCTACCCAACCTTGCTACTGGAGGCTGAGGAACTTAACCCAGGACCAGTCCTTTCTTTCTAGCCAGTATCTGGAATGACTAAATATGCCCTTATTTAAGAATGAACACACACACACACACACACACATTATATTACATTATATTTATTATATTATAATTATATTGTGTGTGTGTGTAAATATACATATGTGCACAGGCAGTCCATGATGGTGTCAGGATTCATATCAGCTGCCTCCGTGCTGGTCCCTGGTCCCTGGATCTTGACCCTTCTCTAAACCAACCATCTGCTGTGGAGGCTGACAGGGCACCTGGCTGAGAACCCAGGCTCTGGAGTTGATTGGATCCTTACAGTTTCTCAAACATACCTGGGTTCCTATGGCTGTATGCACAGCTCACTTCTGCTCTCAATGCGTGGCGACAATCGGAGTCTCAGTAATTCCAGCTTATGAATTGATCCCTGCTATGTTCAGGGTACTGTCCTCAACATGTTACCCATGCTACCTTCTCCCATCCTCCCATGGTACCACGAGGTAGGTAGCATTGCTATCCTCACTTTACAGATGACAGCACTGAGGAACAGGGAGGAAACTCTTGCTAGAAGTCCCTGCTCCAGACTGCTGAGATTTCAAAGGCTCTACTCAGCAACACACTCTGCCTGCCTACCATGAAAAATGATTTCCTACCTTGGCACCTAATCTTTGCCTCAAGTGTTCCCTTCTCCTTGAGCCCAAGGTTTGCCTGGCACAATGAAATTCTGGAGTCAGCACCAGAGTGGGGTCTGTTTCCTAGTCTAGTTCATAACTTCTGTGGAAAGATCACACCACTGTAGCTAGGGCAGGGCTGAGGGTCTATGGTGAGGCCTCTCTGTCTCCCGGATGTTGCCACCAAAGGGCCTCTATGAATGGCCCCCACCCAGACAAAGAGCCTGCCCTGTCCTCTGCATGGAGCACCACTGACAACCCCACCTCCTCAACCCAAGTATTCCTCCCTTATTGTTCATCTCTCTCTTGCCTGAGACCCAGTCATAATTCAGGCAGTACCAAGCCAGGCCTTCTTGTTACACCATCTTCTGATTGTGGACACTCAGACTCCTGAAGAACCACCCAACATGCATTGAGCACCCACCTCACCCCAGGTACTGGGCATGAAGGTACTGGGCATGAGAAGTGACTGCAACAGTGATTCCACCCTGGAGTGCTTACATTTTGTAAAAGGTAGCATGAAATAAGCAGCAAACCAATGTAACTATACCTCAGTGCTAGAAGTTTCTGAAGAAGAAAACAAGATAAAGAGATGAAAGTC